CCCATTTTATTAGCAAATGCTTCTCAAAGGTGATTTAATTTTTTAAAAAATTAAGGTAAAACAAAAGTATAAATATAAAACAGTAGAGATAACAAAAGATAGACCAAGGCATTAAAACAACACAATTTCAACAGCAAAAGAAATGAAGGAACATAGAGACTAAACTGGGTGAACCCTAGTCAGTACTTGGATGGGAGATTGCCAACAAATACCACATGCTGTAGGTTATATTTCAGAGGAAGAAACTGGAAAACCACCTCTGAGTATCCCTTGCCTAAGAAAGCCTTGTGAAATTAACAAGGATGACAGGTGACTTGAAGACACAGACAAGCACACTTTCTTTTATAGATCATGGCAAATATAACTTGCTGCTATATAGTACTAGGTTTATGTAACTTCAAACAGAAACAATTCTAACCCTTTTAAAACCAACCTGGCAAAACCATGGAGTTACACCTTCTGGCAAATTTCCTGGCCTGTACAGCTGATGCAGTGGTCAGAGTGCTGGACTAAGGCTCTAGGAGACCAAGGTTCAAATCCCTGCTTGGTCATGGAAACCCATTGGATGAAAAAGACAATGGTATACCTATTTTGAATACATCTTGCTGAATAACTCTATGAAAGGATAATCATAAGGTATGGTTTACAGGAATAACAATCATGTTTCCAATGATGAGAACTTCCTTGTTCAGGGGAGCAGGGAGGAACTGAATTCAGGTGGATCTCAGGTTTGTACTATGGAGAAAGACAAGACTGACCTGCTGCAAACAATTTAGGGACTGGGTTCACACACTTGGTTTAAAGGGCACATTTAATGGAATATTATTGTGGGATGGGTAAATGGAAGCATTCATTTACCAAACCCTCATGGAATGTATCCTAAGTCCATATGCAGCTTGCATTTTAACAACATGGGATGCACTATAGAAACATAAGTATGTTGGTGGGCATGATGCCCTGGGATAATAATTTGCTATTTGGGATTGTGGGAAATGTAAATTACAGTTCTCCCCTTGGTACTGAACAAAGCATTACATGCCACCATCATTTAAACCTGAGGGAAGTGGAATACTGGTGGACTGGATCTACCAGAACATGTGGTACAGAGAGGCTGCTCAGATCTGGAGGAAGTTCCATGATGGATCTTGCAACTTTACATTCTTATAAAAGCAGTGATAGGGAGCCCTCATTTAATCAGATCCCATTAGGAGGGCATTAACGTTTTCCTCATACAATCTCATAATAATTCCCTTTTCTCAAACCCAAAACAAACAAGAAGGGTAAAGAAGGCGGATGGACTCAGAGTGTTGGGAACTTTTGTAGTGTCTTGAGCTAGAGCATAATTAATTGCTGATTGTCCCAATTTTGCGAAGAAAACCAGCAAAGTATAGCTTTTCCACAGGTAATGGATTCTGTCATGAGAGTGTTCTTCCCAATAAGCAATGTCCTCCAATTTTCAACTGATATTTGCCTTCCCTTGTATTGAATCTGTTTCTCCCCTCAATTTCCACATATGGCTGTCCTCTGGGGACTTGCTATGGTGAATAAAGGTCACACTCTCCCTTTCTTCAGCATCTCAACCTAGAATGAGGACCATGGCTACTTTCAAGCATTGTGAGAAATCAAAATGCCTGCTTGCCAGATGGTGGTGAGCTGGATGACCAAGAAAAACATTTATAGTGGTCTCAACTGGGACACCAGTTCTTTGGCAGCTACTTGAGGATGTTGGATGCTGGGCCTTCTTCTGCCTCATACCATATTTAGCCTTTAGCTTGACCCGACTTCCCCCTGTGGCTACTATTTTTAAAACAGAACAAAACAATGGAATATATTTTGCAAAACTGTAGTCAGAATCCTTTTATATACTAGTGTAACTGGGGAACTATGCCAGCATAAGTAAATTGCCAAAGGCATTGTCGAGTACCTCCTTGTGCAACACTTTCTCAGACTGTACAATGGCAGCCAGACACTGCTCAACTGCAGCTCAATCTTGACCCAAACACCCATTCACTGGCCATGAGGGTGAACCGGAAGGACACCTTTGTACTGTCATCTTTGTAATCCAGGATAATTTTAGTAGTGGAGTATTTTGAAAAGCCATCATCATCAAGGTTCTCAGCCTATGTGTTTCAAATATCAGCTGGAATCCTGTCAGTGTCTTATGCATAAGCTGCCAAAGAAGTGGTTACACATTGGTGTCTGATGCAGGATGGCCATGCTCAGTTATTGGAAGCAGCATTCCACATGTGGTGCAACTCAGTGGTTGTCATGGTTGGTGTCACCTGCTGCAGGTGCCCAGAAAGTGGTGGCTATGGATTACCCTACCTTCCTTTCCTCCCACTGCCTCCCTCGCCTGCCCCCCGGCTGGCTGGCTGCTGCCTGGCCAAACCACTGCTGGGGAGACAGTGCTGTGGTTTCTGGTGTCCACTGCTGGGCTGTGTGTGTGTGTGCTGCAGCTTCTGGACAGCCTCTTCAGAGTCTACATCTGGTTGCATACCCTGTCCCTTCCTGTACAAACTAACTCAAACCAATTATTTCATTCTCTAAATTTCCTACTCTCTTCTCCCTCTTCTTACCAAAGTGTGGAGAGGACATGGAGGCAGTGCCCTTTCTTACTCATCCAGCAACTGCACCAGTCCCACCAAGTGTACCGCCCTACCTGGTGTACACGCCTGTAGTGTCATTTGGTACAGTCCACACCTCTTAAAGATCCTCTGGTGCTACTAGTCATGGTAGCATGCTCAGTGTGGATACATGTTTGGGGCAACATCCTGTTATGATATACACCCACATAAATATGGCTTACAGATACACGTCTCTCCTTTTTTCATAAGGCATAGGGAGCTGTTTTCTAACCCTTTGCCTCCTGCTGCTTACTGGTGGAGAGAAAAGTCAACTGATATTATGACTATGTGACTGGTTTAGACTGTGAAAGTAAGGAAAAGGAAAAGAGGTGCTACATCTGTGTGCATACCCTGTCCCTTCCTGTACAAACTAACTGAAACCAATTATTTCATCCTCCTCTAAATTTCCTACTCTCTCCCTCTCTTCATACCAAAATGTGGCGAGAACATGGAACCATGTTAGCAGATTGCTATATTCTGCCTGCCTGATGTGAGTTCAGTTGTGCCTTTAGTTGTACAATATCACAACTCACTAATGAGGCAGCATTGCACAACTGCTGTGTAACCCAATGGAAACAAAGTCAGGCTTTGCTGTCTCTGTGGTGTAAGATCTTGGTTGCTAGGCTCATAGCACAGTGTAATGCACACCAGAGTAGGTGCTGGTGCAGAAAGCTGAATTGGGCTTGTATGGACAAATCCAAAGTGGTCATACTGCAAATCAAACTGATTTTATGAACAGAACCAGATCCTTATTTCATGAACAGATCATCCTTCCCTCTGCAACCTCCCTATCAACTTCAAAACCAGTGCCAGAAGGCTGGGAAACTCCAGGGAGATGAAGAGGAAATGAAAATCTTAACCTGCTAACAGATTAGTGCTAGTGTTTTATCAAATTTAATCACAAAAGTTAAGAGGGAGAAAACACAAAGGAAAAGAGGACAAACGGATTAGGTATTCATATTATATTTTTATAAAATTATTTACACATTGTGGGGTATTTTTTGGTCATGAGCAAATCAATTGGCACAAAGAGCACGGTCACACAATATATATATTTTTGTTTTGTTTTTAATAGCTAACACTATATATATATATATATATATATATATATATATATATATATTCCCCAGCAACAGGGGCAACAAAAAAGGTAATGTACAAAATAAGCTGATAGTAACACAATGTCAAAAATAGCTTATTATGTTAAGTGCAAGGGAGAAAAGCCTCAATATAAAGCTTGATTGCAATGAAGGTATTGGCTTAAATATAAGACTTGCAATAAAATATTTTTCTTGCCTCTTTCTATTCCATCCCAACCTCCCAAACCCCTCAGGTTGACCTATTAAAATCTCTATACACAAACTCATGTGTAACACTTAACAGTAGCATTATGACGCATTCAGGAAGCATGATTTCTCAGTTAAAAAATACGCACAGCAGATGCAGTTGACTGATGGAGATGGGATGTTTTCTTTTGAGGGCTGACAATATTATGTTGAGTGCTAGCCTCAGTCAGGTGACCAGTCACCTGTTACAATATAATATCCCAACAGCCCTCTTCCCAGAATTCCAGAGTCTTAGTAAGCAGCAGTGCTCACTGGATCCATATGGTGTTCCCTCTGTCTGGCCGACGTGGCTCTACTGTCAGTTCCCCAAACGTTGAGAAGAACTGCTCCATCTCTTTCTGCAACATGTCGTTCCTCTTCTCAGCATCTTCTTTGGCCCGCTCGGCATTGCGCATTTTAATTTCTACCATTGTGAATTTCTTCTTCTCTTGTTCCAGTTCATCATGCAGGGTCATCATTTCTGTCTCCAGGGAGATATTCCTCTGTTCAAGGCTAGAGGAAAACAAACAGAAAGCAAAGACTTACTAGACCATTAATTCCTACCTTTAGCCAGTTAGGTAGCCACTTCATGCAGCAAATTTGGGCTAAAAATTAGCTATTTAACTTATTATGATTGTATTTTTACTGCTATAGGAGTGGGTGAGAAAGCTTGGAAGATTTTTAGCCCCAGGTTCCAAATTACATTGGGTAGCCTAGAATACTTTGGGAATAGGGAATATTTGTGGAATACCAGTCTGTGGAAGACCTAGAATAGCAATCTATAGAAGCTCAGGAAAAGGAACCACCCATGACCAGTTTGACTTTCTTGCCATTCATGCAGGGTGGTCTATTGAATGCAGAACATCATCAACAAATGACATTGGCATCATCAGCAGAGGGTGTACTCTCATGTCACCACCTGAAGAAGATGTGGCCATATTGTATCTGCTTATAGGCCTGATGTATCTAGGGTTTGCTCTTTCCTCAGTGCTTGGCTTTGCGGTATCTTAGGAGCCAAACAAATACGTGACACTGACTTAGAACAGAATTAAGCTTATTGCCAAACTGTGGTCCAGACTCAATGCTTCATGAGCCTATAGTTTACTTTTCTCTTTTCAGCAGTGACCAAATAGGAGAACTTATGAGGAAAGTCCAAGAGTGAAAGACACTACTTGCTTTTTAAACAACAACAGCTGAATTTCTAGATCTAGAAATAAGTAGCATCTCCCTAATCCTGCCTTACGAGGCAGTAGTTGCTGTGCACTACACAAGGCTATTCTCCTATCAATTGGGATGCAGCAGACTCTTGTTTCCACCTGCTCCCACAAGCAATTCCTGGTGCAACAAACAAATCTTCCTTGCAGTAGAGATCGCTGGTGGGAGAGGGTTGGAAATATCAGTCTGCTGCATCCCAACCAACAAGAGAACAGACCTCCATTGCTCACAGTGGCTACTGCCCAGTATAGAAGGGCTGGGGGCCATTTATGATCACTGTATTCCTAAACAACATCCCATATTTAAGTATATCTGAAATAAATAAAAAATAAGGCCCATTCAAACATATTAAAATGCAGGCTCTGAAATACAATATATATAGATTAC